AACCAGTTTATTCAGACTTCACCAGGAAATGCCCCGCATGGCCAGGTGATTAGGGCGCTCGACTCGCAATCCCCGTCACACCAAACATGCTCGCTCTTTCAGCCGTGGGGGCGTTATAATGTGACAGTCAATCTCACTATTCGTTGGTAAAAGAGTAGCCCAAGAGTTGGCGGTGGGTGGTGATGACTAGCTGCCTTCCCTCTAGTCTTACACTGCTAAATTAGGGACGGCTAGCGCAGACAACCCTCGTGTAGATTTGCGCGAAATTTAAACAAAAACACTAGAAAACAACCCGTATCATTACAAATTACGATCTTCATCATAACATGCCTAAGGCTTGAGATTATTCAACATTAGGCCTCTCTATGGAGAATGCTGCTCTGTGAAAATGACAAGTTTTCAACTCTACTGGTGCGTTTTCAGTAATTCCCTTTGCAGTTTTCTTTTATTGTTTATAGTGCTATAAATAAATCTATAAAATTTTAAATCTAATACATCCTTTCAATAAAGTAGTTCTTATGCTTCTAAAAAAATTTTGATTTTCTGAGTTTGGTTAAGTCTTGACATTTTTCGGTTAAATGCTATGAAGAATTTCATGTACACTCGTATCAGATTTGTTACTTTGTACTAACCACTAGTTTAAGTTGTTTCACTTTCGCACGCAATAAACGCTTCAAATAATCATTAATATTACGTGTTTTGGCAACCTGCGTGTTTTTACGTACACTGGCATAATACAGAAGTTGAGCACGTTTTATTAAAACGATTTTAGTCTCATCATGTCGTTATAGTTCATATTATCACGTCCGACCATGCTCTATCTGACGACTGTTGTCTTGACAATAACTCTGCAGCGTGGTTTCTGTTGTAAAAGATTCTCGCAAGGTATCATGTTCCAAGCATACCACTCCACCCTGCTTGCTTTCTATAAACCGTCTATCAGCCATCTATTATATTTGTTACAACAATCCTTCGTTGTGTTATCTTCAACTATTATGATCAAGTAAGTAATTAGCATTAAATTAACAGGTCTGATTAAATGTACTACAAAATTCAATCATTTCCAAATATTTGCTCCGTAGCTTTTAATAATCAGTAAATACATAGGTATATTTTCATAATGTTGGATTTGCAAGAAGTTTTAGATATTTAAACAGAAAAATTCACTTTCAAACATTTATTTTTAACAAAGCGTCATCTTGTCGAAAACGTGCATTTTACGAGCTTCTAAGGATCAAAAGGTGTCGCTTTAATTCAGTCGTTAAAGGTTTTATCTTGCAGTTTATGTCAGTCATTTCTATTCACGCTTGACTACTTCATTAATTTTCCAACTGATACGAGAACGTATCTGAATCATTACTTCTGACGTCAGTAATATTTTGTTTTGAAAAAGAACTTGTTAATTTGTTTTCTTTTCAGAATGTTCTCGCAAAGCTACTCAAAGGAGTATCTGGACATAGTAGTCTGTAATTTTGAATTGATAGATTGGAGAGAAAGCAGAGAATCATAAGCACCCACCGCCAACCGTATTTTGTTGCAACTCACCAACAGCTGCAAAGAGTAAAGCGTATTTGTGAGAAAACGTGACGCAATCTATGATCCCTTGGATTCAGAGTACGGGCACCTTATCTGCTAGGCCACGCCTGGCTACACGTTTATTAGAGTGCCTTTTTTATTTTCACAAAAAGTTTCAATCTGGTATGTAATCTGTATAATTATCAGTTAAAAGTTTAAATAAGAACCCCCAGTGGCACATCGGTATGTCTGCGGACTTACAACGCTAGAAACCGGGTTTCGATACACTTGGTGGGCAGAGCACAGATAGACCATTGTGTAGCTTTGTGCATAAATTCAAGCAAACAAAGTTAAATAAGAAAGTAGTAATTAAATGGGATAAAATTCCCCATTCACTAGTTCATTGCCATGGAAGATACATTTATTACTTTAATATCTGCATGATCAGCTGTACTGAAGCATAGAAACCTCGAAAAACACATTCCTCCCCTTTTGTGACGTAACCGAGAGCATTTTCAAACTTTATTCAAAAAAAAAAATTATTGAGATGCAATAAACTGAATAACTTTTATATGTATTGAATACACTTCAGGTTTGTTAACAGCCGATCTTCTGTTGTGAGTTTAGGCTTAACACTTTTTTTCTCAAACAAAACAAAATAACCAAACTTAAACTTACTATTTTAACGTGAATTTTGAGAATACTTCGATTTTTTTTTACGGGATATTTAGAGAGAGAAAATCTATTTGGTTATAAACTTTTATAGTTCTTAGGTTTCCATTTGAATTGTTCAAATTCTTTCATTTATCCATCTACAAGAGTGTATTTGTATTTCTCTATCAAACTTGAAGGCTATTCCACGATAAAAACAAATCGCCCTTCACGTATGAGTAGGAATTTTATAAAGACCATACCAAATAAGAGAACTTGGGAAAGACGTAAAAGAATTCGAGCTTTCTAGACTAACCTATGCTGATATCGTAGTTATTGAAAAAATCGAAAAACAAACTTTGTAGATATCAATGCGTGATATAACAGTAAGACATTGAAACTTTTGAAATCAGTTCAAGTAAATCAATACTGCAGAAAGAATAAATAACTACTGTCAAAACAATAGTTGGTACCCTTCTAAGAATGGGTACAGCACGTCAAGATTCTCTTCAGTTTATCATGTGTGTCATACTTGTAAGAATGAACAAAGCATGTCGAGATTCTCTTCAGTTTATCATATGTGTCATACTTGTAAGAATGACCAAAGCATGTCGAGACTCTCTTCAGTTTATCATGTTTGTCATACTTGTAAGAATGACCACAGCAGGTTGAGATTCTCTTCAGTTTATCATGTTTGTCATACTTGTAAGAATGACCACAGCAGGTCAAT